TCTTCTCGATCGTTGGATTATGACCTGATATCTATCGACTTATTCGTGTTTATTTCAACGTTGCAACATTTACTTGTACTTTAATTTATTTACACATTAAATAAGGGTTACATTACCGTACTTTTATAATATAGCTGTCCCTTGCACTCTCTAGCCTTTGTTCTTAAGCTACCATAAACAATTTATGTTGCAGATGAAAAGAACAGCTTGTTGTTGGATAGTAATTAGCTTAAAAATCTGAAAAATATTGTTTTTACCTTTATTCGAATCCTTGCACGCTATGAAAACAGCACCACTATAGCCATCTAAAGGCAAAGCGTCTAAAATAACAGAACCAAACCAGTGACTTCATCGAGCGTGCACGAGACCTAACATACAGACCTATCTTCACCTGTGGGAGTTTAGGAACCCGAAAATTATAACCCCTTCGTTGAGAACAAAGAAACATCCAGTCTGTAATCATTGCCTACGTTGTAATTATAGTTCGCGTATTCACTCAAGGATTTCGCTAGTGTCGAAATATTGTAGAGGTCTTCTCAGTCTGTGGAGAAGCTACTCCCTGCTTTACCCGAGGGGGAATAAAGAAGTACACTTTACGAGAGACTACTCGTCGGTGCTTTAATTAATTTGCACTTGAAATATTTACAATGTCACTATGTACACGAAATTTAGTTACTAGAACTTAATTTAAGATTAAATATTCTACTGAGTTCTGTATTTCTAATTAAGCTATTATTTGTACGTGCATAAAATTACTGGTTCTAATTGTAGGAAAACTAAGACCGATCGCCTGTTAACAGCTCGGCGGTTCGAGGAAGAAGCAGGTAGAAAGTGGTTTTCTGTTTTTCCCGGGAAAATGCCACCCCCAAACCGGAAGTAGAGATCGCTATTTAAATCATGAAAATTTACAGGAAATGTACTTTCCGACGGGATTGCGCGCCGGTATCAGAGGTCGCCACAATATTATCATGAGAATGAATCAGAATGCATGCGCACAAGACAAGAAGAATTTTAGATCATATTTTTCTGTAACTCTCTGTTACCTCGTGTCTTTCCTTTACCCCGTAAACCTAATGTGATTCTACATTATTGAATGAAACCAAGGTTCTTTGATGTTTTGTATAACATCAAAGTGAATTTCTTTATGAAGAACTGATGATATTGTTATAAAAGATTATTATAACTGTTATAATGTGAATATCAATGGATATTGCATTTGCATGTTTATTATCGTGACAGTGAATTACGTCATCGTAAGTTTCAATAATATAACATGAATGACTATTTGATATTTATTGATCGTCAAACTTTTCGTTCAACGTCGTTGACTGTGACCTTTGTAGGATGACAGTAAAGTTCGTAAAAATATCACATGAAACTAGTATTTTGTTTTTGCATCATACTGACAATCCTGAACGAATATTAGAACATGCACGATTAAAGCTAAATAAAAAGTTCAACTATTCCATATCTGTCATTTTTAATGTATTATTAGAAATCGAGCATAACATGTATATATGTATACGTACGAATATGTATACTACAATTGTGACAAATTTAAACTGCACTCTATTACTGCAACATTTGACAAATTACGTCTTTGTGTCGCGAATCATTTTCTTCATAAATAATTTTAAAAATATGAAGTATAATAAACAGTTATACATAAGTGTATTTCTTTCATCAGCTCTAAAGGATTTGGGCATTATTTCTCAAGAGATATCAATGAGATATGCAGGATCAGGCTAAACACAGGCATCCATTAACTTTATTGTATGAATATTTTGGTAATATTGGATTTAATAGTAGCATAAATTCAAAAGATGTCAATAGAATCACCATTCATTCGTACCATCGAATGGGATATGATGGACAAAACAAAGTTCTTTCCACTCAGTATGCTTTCATCATTTTCTGTGCGCTGCTGTTTGTATCCACTAACAGTGATCAAAACACGTCTACAAATTCAGAGGCAAAATCATATGTACAATGGTAAATTTGCTTTTAATTATCTTTTGTTGTTCAATGTTAATCAGAGTTCATCATTTTTGTAGGAACATTGGATGCTTACAGAAAGATTTACCAAGCTGAAGGTGTATCGGGCCTTTATAGAGGATTTTGGATAAGTTCTATACAAATTGTATCTGGTGTATTTTATGTATCAACATATGAAGGTGTGCGTCATGTACTTGGACAGAATGGTGTACTAGGTAATTTAGACTCAAGAGTTAAAGGATTAATTGCCGGTGGTGCTGCTAGTTTGGTAGGGCAAACAATAGTAGTTCCTTTTGATATTTTAAGTCAACACCTAATGGTTCTTGGGATCAGTAATAAAAAAAAAAACAGTTATTATGTAGATAAGGTAAGCACATGAAAGCAGCTAACTGTTAATATATGTTATTTTTTCGTTTATATATCATTTATAGGTGAATATGAATCCATTGGGTTTAACTTTTGAACCTGGGACATCTCGTGCACAGATTTCCATGGACATTATTAAATCAATATATCAGAGAGATGGTTACAGAGGTTTTTATCGGGGATATATTGCATCACTCTGTGCTTATGTTCCCAATAGTGCACTTTGGTGGGGGCTGTATATATCTTACCAAGGTTGTTGTCTTAAAATAAAAGCTGGCACATTTAATTAATTCTGAATAATAATCTTTTTCTGTTGTTAACAGAGGAACTTATACGTTTGTTTCCTGAATGGGTCTCTCACTTGTTTATTCAAGCTGTTGCTGGAACATTGGGAGGGTTTACTACCACAATCATAACAAATCCTCTAGATGTCGTGCGGGCAAGGTTACAAGTACAAAGATTAGATAGTATGTTAAATGCATTCAAAGTTCTTTGGACAGAAGAGAAGTTACAGATGTTTACTAAAGGACTATCTGCGCGTCTTTTACAGTCAGCTTGTTTTAGTTTTTCAATAATTATAGGATACGAAACTATTAAAAGATTGAGTATAACTGAAGAGTACAAAGAATACGTTAGATGGTAAACTTGTCTTTCGAACTTTCAGAAAATTATTTCTACGTCAGTGCATTTTGTTTGACGATTTCTGTTCCATACAGTAATAATAAATGTGCACCAAAGAACAAAGGATGAGATCGTAGCGGTCCATTCACAAAACAAAATTGATGATTATGATTAATAGATTTAATAAAAATTAAAATATTTGCTTTAAGCAATAAACAATGAATAACTATGAATTTTAACATAGTCACATACTGCTTACATTTATCATTTTTTCCTAATATACATTCAGTGTAATGTACCCGACACGTTCAAAAAGAGAACATATGTTTAGCGTAAAAATGCATTTTATATTATTTTTTTCATGCACAGTACGAGGTACGAATTTCATAGCATACGTTAGAAGTATTGCTGTGATAAAGCATCTCTATCGAAGCAAGTAAATTTTCTATAAAATGAAATTGTATAGCTAGATTATGTTGTATGCCAAATGTATGTAAAAAGCGAATAAACTTGTTAGTTCTATTGAATTACAACATACCTTGATTATTCATTTGAGTGATTCAGGATAAGTTGTAGGATAAACTAAACAACAATTTTTCGGTTATTTTTTATTATAAAGGACAGCATATTGATAGACACATTGTTTCGAAGGTACTTAAGTGGTCTCGATAACGTGGCTTTCGTACATGAATCGATAGTTTTTTTAATGTACGCGTGCTATTTACTTAGAAATTACATAGTACATGGTCTCCATTTTCCTTCGCATTATTTATATCATATATACAGGCCAGGGAAATTTATTCGATCCCTTGTGTATGCGAATTCCATACATTATCACGTTCTCACTGCTACATACGTACAACAAATGAATAACTCGTTACCACATTTTACGTGGCGCAAGTTTTACGTGTATTATTATATGGAGCATCGAATCTTTGGGTAGCCAAGAGTTTGTATGTACATACAGAAATAACTTCTGAGAACAGTTTTCCTCGATGAAGATGATACATGAATTGATTAATTATCTTTCCCATTATTTCATGCATTTTGACACAACAAGAATATAGATTCAGATTAATTGTATTAATTGAACAGTATCGAGCAAAGTAGGCTTCCCTCGGGAGAACAGGAATTTTCAAAACCTTAATTTTGACAATATTAATATTAATAGTGATTTAGATACAAAATAATATAATTTTTAATGATTAAATATTATAAAGTTCCGTATATAATTAAGAAATGTAACATGGATATTAATTCGAATACTCCAGCAAGTGGTGGGGACCTCAAGCCTATATGTATGTATACATATATGGGACTACTCGTGACGCTGCCATTCTCCTCGTGGCTTCATACAGAGAGAGGCGAGAATCCGGCGAAGAGAAAACTTTTTGGGTCGGGTTCGTTATTTTCGAGCGGTATCATTATTTTCCCTCAGAAAGTTTACCGTGCTCCTGCTGGATACTGTACAAGTTACTGTAGAAAGTTATGAAAGAAATTTAAATTTGGCGCCCTAATATGGTGTGCGAACAAGACGCCCGCCGAGTGACGTTACTAGTCAGAATACTGTTTCCGGTGTAACTGTAATATTCTTTTTTTCATTACTTTTGTGTAAACGTCGTAGTCAGAAAAAACAACAATATTTTTCAATGTTTACTGACATATTAATGTTTGTCGAAAAATATTATTATTTTAAAATTCTCAAATATTAACCATCTTACAGTATCTACACTGACTAGCGCAGTTACGACGCCGACCAATTGCACGCACCACGTTTCGCGTCAGTAAATTTTTTCAAAAGACGCGATTACTTTGGCAATCGGTTGTTTTTCGTGTTTAAAAGTGTTTGACAAATGAATATAAACGTGGACAGTGTGAAAAGTGATTCGGACAATAGAACTGATTGGATGTGTATGAAAATTCAACAGCTTTTGGACAGCACGAGCAAAGCAATCTTCACGGCGTGGTTAGCCACGGTAAGTGAATCATTCATTTCGTTATCAGACATTTTTCCATTCTTTTTTTTCCATGATTCTGCTTATGTTTAGTCTTACACGTAAAGAATAAATGTAACGCAGCTAAAAATAAGCGAATTCAGAATCGAAACTGAATCACCGATAGATTTTTTTCACATTTATTGTAATTTTTAGTATGACGCTTTAATACGACAGGATAGAATCAATACGTAATAATACTGAATTTATTTTTACTCGAACAAGCATGTGCGTGTATTTCTGTTGAGCACGCGCATTTTTACAATGTTTCATACATTTATACGTTTTAAATAGCTAACTTTACGATATTCTAATATTTACAATTACATGGCAATGTTGTATATACACCGATAGATGCATGTGTTAACTTTCATAAAAATAATACAATATCGCAAAAATATTCAGCGCCATCTATCAAGTAGACGAGGAAGTATTATTTCTTGATCGAATAAAGATTGTCTATCACGGTAATCGAACGGAATTGATTCGTAAACAAGCAGTAGGTTAGACGTTGAAACGTTCAATGAGTTGAAACAACGCGTTCGAAATTGAACTTGCGACAGCAAACAATCAACCACCGTCAATTATTTCGAAATAATGTTGTTTAATATTACCTAGTCTACGACCTTGTTATTGCATCCGTTGATTAAGTTACATCGGCCTTGGTACTTGTTTCACGCTACATTAGTCTTGTCGTAAATATGCACGGGGAACGACTACGGCGATCAATTTCGTTCGACGGCTTTCGATTGTCAGTCTTTTCACCACACTCGACTCCCTTAGGAACGGGACGTATAGGAGCAAAGAAAAAAAAAAAAAAAAAATAAGAAAAAAGATAAATGACGTGCAACGTACGCAAAAATCGCCGCGATGTTTCTTGTTGCACCGATGTTGCATCTGTCGATGGAACGATTTATGGTGGTTAGCTAAGAGGCTACAAAGTGTCGAAGATATCCGAACGTAAAAACAGAAACGACCGATTTGGCTCGATTTACGGCGCCGTCGTCCGCAATTCGATTCCCTAGATCCTTTTCTCGTCGGAGGTACAAAACGCGAAACTATGTTGCTTCTATGTACATATACAACGAGCGAAACAAGGGTATAGCGTGTTGCTCGTCACGCTACCTCATGGTCCACTTTTCGTCACGTAAAACTCGACGATAGGATAATAAATACGTAAGGGTGATTTCGTGATGTCTCCGCACCAGCTCTCGGTTTGTCCTTTGATTAGAAGGAGGAGGAGGGGGGACCGGTGAGCTGTTGTCGCTTCGGGATTCCATTTAGTTTCTTCCTGCCTTCTCGACCTGAACCATTCGTAGGAGTTTAATCCAGGTTTAAATCGAAAATTAGTCTACAATCACGTATCCCGGAAACGGATCGCGCGTTCGCGACGAGGCCCGGGCCGGGCCCCCGTGTGACGTCACATCCCTCCGCTGGGTAGTCCAGTCGCGACTCCTCCGTCGCTACTCTGACTGACGCTGCTGTAGCTGACGCTGCTCGCCTGGCCGCCGGTATTCGCTCCGGAAACGTACTGTAATCAGAATTATATTTTCAAAAAAGATTTGTCGTCATCTTTCATCGTGATCGGTGTGTGCTTTCGGTGCGAGTACGTGAATAGAAACAGATTCGATTGATATGTCGTATAGAGGTAGGATTATATCTTCTTATACGGATTAGCCAGGTAAACAGGGATTTAGGTCAGTTGTTTCTGAGAAACGCGTTCTTGTAGAAACGCTTCCCGGAATTGTTGATACTGTGATGTTTATCTTTATTATTTACACGTGGGTAGTACAGGGAAGGCAATTCTCTCTTGCAATATTCTAACAATTTGATTATTAAATAAAAATAGAAATTGTTAGTTCGGAGTCCGAAAATTTGTTGGTTTCGTCGTGAAACATTCTGTACATTGGAAGTAACTACTAGCTCGTCGATAGAGAAAGAATTTCTATGGCAATGGAATGAAAAATGATAGCGAAAGGTAGTAGATACATATACGGGCGTGTCGGTTAATGCTTTTCGTGTATCAGGATAAATTATCTTAAATCGTTCAGGTGTCGTGTACCGAGCGATATCGATGCACGTATGCCCGCATCACCTACTTTTCCATAATCCTGCTTGCTTCATCATTGAGAGCGATGCTCTATCTTTCCATCGTGTTTTCACGCTTTATCACAGATGACCCGGCTCATTTTTACCCGCGAAATTGGAGTAACATTCATTTCCTGTTTTCAATAGAATGCACCCGAGATATAATCTTGCCTTTGTTTTCCAATCACTTTCGACTGGGAGTACATTTTGGAAATGGATCACTTCGAGGAGCAAACTTATCGAAACTTTAATTTCCACCTTTTTTTTAGCTATTCACGTATCGATCGATCAATTTGTTGTATAGCAATGTTTCCTCGGATTTGTTTTTTCACTTTTCCTCTTGGAAAGTTTCCAATTGTTGCGATGAAAATGCTTTTAAGTGAAAGATAATACCCGCTTGATAGTGTTCGTTGATTAAATGGAACGGCACTATCGCTTCGTAACTTTATCGTAACTAACAGCAATAACCATTAACGAAGAGCTAGTAGATTTATAGAATTGCATAAATTTGAAAAATAATAAAAATAGACAAGGGATTCGGTCGGACGCGACAATATTGTTTCGTCGGTTCGATCTCAAGGGATGGTTGGTGTGTCAACGCAAGAAGTTTCCTTTCCCACTCTATTGAACACGAAATTCTCCAGAGAATTCTCTACTAGATCGGGTTTCTTGTTTCTTTCTGCTTCTCGATACAAGTCTTGTATTTTTACGATAGTCCTCCAGTGGATTAACGGGAAAGAAATCGAATAGATGAAACGTTTATATGAATTTTTGTTATTAATTATTCGTGCTAAATCGATCAGTGAAAGCGCAAGATGGGAGCGATTATTGTTGAAAAATTCTTAATTGAGATACAGCCTGATTTAACCTCGAACCGTAGCAAAGTCGACTTCCGATGCTACTCGAAGTTACTCGAACCGTCTAATTAGCGCGTCGCGAAATATTCGAGAGGATTCATCGAAGAGTCTCTCTAGGAAACTCGATCGAATCGCTAAAGGAAGAAATTTTCAAGCATAAAAAAGGAATAAGCAGAACCGCGGGCATCGCGTTTTCAAGCGCATTTACTCCTGCCGGCTAATTAAAATAAAACTTTCTACCTTTTAATTACGGTTCCTACGTTATTCGCGATGAATATTTTTTCTCTTCGTTCATGAGCCGGGCAACGACGAATCCTCGCGCAGGGCAAAATTATCGAGCAGGCTGATGTTCAACTTTAATTAAATTCCTTTACGCGACCGAACCTCTCCTTGCCCTTCTGAAAATTCCATCGAAACGAAACGATCGGTTCTATCCATCGACCCGGTAATTAACTAATTTCGAAGCCAAGTTTCGCTTGTTCAGTTACGATGTCGAAGTGCAATGAGGTTTCTACGAACACAGATATCGGTGCCTTTTTAGCCGAATTACACTGTGCCCTTTTATCCAAAGACACCTTGGATCTAATATGGTACAAGTTGTTCGCGATAAAACAAGCCGAAAAGTCCTTTACCATTTTGCAATCGGAGGCTTCGTTCACGAGTTATAAGCGGTAGAAAGTTGGATCCTCGACTTCCGGGGTACCCGTCTGTGGCGCCCCGGAAGTGGAAGAATCAATTTTTGATCGCTTATATCTCGAGAACGAAAGCGCGGATTACAAAATGGTAAAGAACTTTTCGATTTGTTTTCATACGACGAATCTGTAACCTCTATGACAAAAAGGTTGAACAGAATCAGCAATTTACAAGCTTAAGTCCTAATGAAAGTTCGAGTAACCTGGATGAACTTGATAAATCTCTGTTGGACCATTGGAACGAATCGTCTTCGTTAGTTTTTCTTCAAGAACCTTCATTCCGTGTGTCTCTACGGAATTCTCTTTTTCCTCGACAAGCCACTAATAAATGTCACGAATGAAAGGGATATCGATGCGGTAAAAACGGGGTCGTGATAAAGTCAACGTTCCGTAAGGTGTCCGTAGTAATCGCGTGACATACGATTGATGAGGATCCCTACGAGATTTATATCTTTTTTCTAAATTGTTATTTCGAAAACGACGGAACGAAGAGAGTGGTTGGAAAAAAAAGGCCGAGGACGTGGAATGACCAGCACCGCTCCGTTTCCGACGTTTATATCTCTTCCGGCGACGGACGTGGCTCGTAACTCATGTCCCCTTGTTTTTTCGGGACTTCCACGGCGACAATTCTCTGTTTGATTCCTCGTCGCCTTTCACGAGGAATGGCACGTTGTCACCGCTCGTTTGACAAGTTTTAAAGTTTCCCGGAAATCGTGTTAATCCATCGCATCGATTCGCGATACGTCGATCTCGCGGTTAAACGTCGGGCCATCGGTGATATCCGGTATCTCGTTTTTTGAAACCGCTCTGCTCGATACGAGAACGTACGCGAGATGGGTAACTCGATTTGCTCGGTTCTTTCATTTCCTTTTGATGCTCGGTTATTTATCTATCTGTTCATTTAATAGAAGAATCGGATTGGTTGTTTGAATTTGAAGGAGATGATTGCGAAATTTTCGAATATCTTGATATGGATATCATTTTTCAAGTGGAAAGCTCGTTTCAACGCTTATCTAACCATCCATGGAACCATTGTTTCAGGTTGGTTTAAAATTTGAAATAGAAGTATGGAAGCTTTTATAGAGGTGGATAAGCTGCTGATTAAAAAGCAAGCCTTATGCAAGATGTCGTTGTTTCTAATGAAATAAGATAAGAGCAAAACTTAGAGAGAGAGAGAAAGGGATAGTTTGTTCGTGAAATAAAAGTGGAAATGGATCGTAAAGGGGATTATGATTTCAGCAGGCCAACGGGACGAGTTAACGTGAGCGAATAAACGAGCTAGCTCGAACTCCGAAACGGCCCGGATGCACCGGTGATGTATCGTTTCAGTTTGAAGGTGTAATTTAATCGTTCCATTGGGTCGATGAAAAAAAAAAGGAAAAACTAAAACAAACTGGTTATCGAAAACAAAAAGCTATGTTTCATACGCGTGTTCGTTGACAAACTTCCGAAAGTAACTAACTGCGATTCTTGTTAACACTTTATCGACCAAAATCCTATTAACTATATACATATATATATTTTTTATATAGTCGTTCGTTGCGTTAAATGTTGAACAAGAAACGATGCAATTACATTTGCAAATTAGTAGATATGCACTTAGCGAACGAAGAGCGCGTAATCGGTTAATTTTATTTACCTTCCACCAGCATTCGGTGGAAGAGGTTTCCATTGAATCTGATTTCACGGCGACACGATTACGCGTTAATCGAGCAGCTGCGTCGTCGAATCAGGTTTTCGAATTCGTTACTAGAGAGGAAAAAAATAGCATCTCTTATCGCGCTGTTTCTCGCGTGGGTGATCCTTACAGGCTCGAATACGGATGGATCGATTACATTACGCCAGCCGGTAATTTAATTTACCAGTCAGTGATAAATGGACGAACGACAAGCTCGAAACAGGAGCGAATTAGGTGATTGATTTTGAATCGTTGCCCGTTCTCTCTGTTGGCCAACGTGTTCGATGATGAATTAAGCGAAACGAATCGATCGAATATACCTTTTCTTTCCCGAATTTCCGCGTATTAATTATCCAACTATTTTCATCGTTTAATTAAAACTAGTCTCTGGATGGTATTCCAATTGGTGATCAATTTTCACTGGAGAACCATCGATACGTAGGAGAACGATGATTCCCCCGTGAGCTATACGGTATTTTTATTATTCCCGTTGCATTTTTTCCTCCTTCCAAGGACCAACACCCTCGGGAATATCTCTGTTCTTTATTGGTCCCTGGTTGATTTCACTGCTCTTTCACGAACCGCTCCCTTCAACAACAATATATAGAATGCAGGGGGCTGTTAACCGACGAAAATGCTTCGGATTCCTTTCTCCAGCCAATAGATCCCTTTTCAACGATTTCCTCGATAAAACCATGCGTTCGTCGACACAATCGTCTATTGAGAATTCACGCTAACCTATCGTCGCTTTGTGTATTCCCTTTAAAGGGAAAATAATCCCTTTCGATAACTTACGATTCGTGAAGAATGCACAACAACGAGGTGGTCGAGATAAAAGGTGCATAAAGAGTATGTATCTTGCAATTTTAGGTAATACTGATTAAAAATAGTGCGTTTACCTAAGCATACAAAAGACACGTGCTGCTGGTGCAGGTGCGAGTATGTACAATACTTGTTCTAGCGTGTCAGTGATTGATAAATCCTCTAAATTCTTCTAATCAACATACCAAAACTATGTATGATTACGGGATGGTGATAGAGTCCTTCTCGCCGATAGGTATCTCTCTTTACTAAATGTGTCTCCGGGCGATTACAAGGGACAGGGTTGTCTCGGGACTGACGAAATTTCGATGCCCAAGGACGGGGGGACAAGAATGAGATACTAGAAAGATGCTTTCGAGTAGGTGTCCAACGATTCCAACGATTCCAACGATATCCCATCGTTAAATGTAGGTTTGCTCGCACGAGCTCTCTCGGCTCCCTCGAACGTGGTGCAACGAGTACGCGGAGTAGTATCTTCCGGATGCGAATCTCTGAAAAAACAGTATTACACTGGTGGGTACTCCAGCTGCTAGAATACCCTTGCAGCTTTTCATAGTACTTTGGTTTCTTTGCGATTGCCGGTCGTCCAGCATCCGAGTAGCTTGATGGTTGTTCAAACTCGTGTTTTCGTTCTAAAATTCCGAGTACCAAGATGCTACACGTAATCTAGTTGTACGTAACAAATCATACAATTACGTTCTACGAGGACGTCTAATAGGATAATACTTCTAATACATCAACCGTTTGACTCGAAAATGGGATTGTTAGGATGGAGGATAAATCGGGATATTGCAACTACAAAGCAATATCATCGTAGGAAATTTTGCGCCAGTATATCGGCAGTTGAGCCTAGACGAGATATTTAATGGTATCTGGAAAAGCAGGATACGTCGAGTTCTGGAATGATATGCAAATGGAAGGCAAACAGCGAATCTAATTCGTGGAAATTGGATTCGCGTGTAACGCGCACAGACTACGTCTTTCTTTCCTTCTTACTTGTCCTCCCAACTGTCTGTCTTGTCGAACTCTCCGAACTTTTCCTTCTTAACAAATAAGAAAAGTTTCTTCCGAGGTGCGTCACGGGAATGGACCAAGTTCTGCAAAGTGCAAGAAACCAATATGTTTTCAGACCCTAGTATATCAAACAGCTCCGTGCCTTTCCCCATCGAGGATCCCACGCGAACATTAACCATTTAGGAATTATTTCGAAGATTCGACGCGCGCAAGGGGAAAGAGTATATCTTTGAAATTTCTCAAATATTTCAAGTACAGATATATGTAGGCGTAGACATCCTATTTGCGCTCGAGAAACGAGGAGTTTCGAAGCAAAAGCGGTTTTATCTAACCAACAGAAAGGAAACAAACGGACCGTACCGGCATGCGAAGCGGAACGCAGATATGCTGCAAGTTATTCAAGCTCTATTCGAGTAGCCTTATCTGACAGAAAATCTTCTCTGAGAAACGGTCAACTTGAAAACTTTAGTAATCGGAATAATAAATCCTTTCTTCTTGGCGAATTTTCAACCTGACTGTATGCGATCGCTGCTTTCGCGTGTTCCCTTGACCCTTTTATATTTGGCTCGACAAACTTTCCTCTCTAAATCGAGCTAACAACTATTTCATCCTCGTTACAATTAAATTTTCCTACCGATGTTTCCTCGCTGAAATTCTAATGGAATTTGTACGGAGCTGGATCGTTCTATTTTTGGAAAAATTACCGATCGGCGTACATCACTTAACGGTAGCAAATATTTTATCGCGATAACGTCGGAGTGCTTCTAAAATAAAACTGTTCATCAGAAATTCATTGATATCGACTAGTGAAAAAAGCACATTCGTAGCGACGATTAATAAAGAAATTACTTGAATGAACAGCACCATAATCCGCAAGGGGTTGAATAACACTCGGAGAAAGTTCTCCCTTGTAAGAAAATAACGATGCAAGTTTATTACTTGGTTCGTGTATACGCACCGGTTGGTTCGACGAAAACTACCCTATCGTAGAAAGAAAACCTAAGCGTTTCCGTGTATCGTATAACTTCGAAAGAATATCGGCAGGGTAGGAGTGGATCTAGGTTGAACGTAGAGCAAAACGTCGGCATAAATAGAGGGACTATCTTCGACGTGTTCTCTGAAATACAAAGGAGTAATCGGTATCCGTAGCTCGGTTCCAAAATAAAGGGTGCTTCGACCTCTCGCCGAGTCGAATACAAAATACGATTAACTAGCTATTGCGTTCGCTGAGATAACAGTCTGCTACGTGACTCGATCGTAATTTATCCAATCTAAGACAGACTTGTTCGTTTTACCTAAAATAAGGAAACCAACGTGAAACCTCTTGTACCCTCGACGTGGGCGTTTTCCAAGCGAAACGCGTACACGTGGGATCTTCCGCAGGAAATACGAATATTTTATACTCACTTGACTTGGTTTACATCTGAATGCGGGCTGATATCGCCGTCTCATCCGTCTGGGACAGCAGGCGCACAAGATTCTCACGAAAGCTCTGCAAAACGAAAGGAAAACTTTGTTGTAATTCGACAGGGGCGATGTTTACGACCAGCTCTTCGTAATACATAGCCTCTCGGGATACTCTTAATTAATAATAAGAGTTGATATCAAAATCTTACCGAATCGAACTTCAGTTCTATAGAGGAATAAAAGTTGGAGGAAAAGTTAAACTCGAACGTTTCACGGTGTTTGCCGGAAGCTAATTATCAAAACGATTCGAGCCAACTTTCTTGCGAGAAGTTTCCCCTCGAATCAACTCCGAGATTTGAAAAGATTTTTCGAATCGCTCGAGCGACAGAACGCGGAGCCAATAACGCAACCTTCGCCGTAGGAAAATGTAAAACCTTGCTCGAAAGTTGGTCACATCGTCGACTGCTCGCGTTTTTAACGTCAGCATCGCATGACTGAGAACGCTGTTTCGAATATCGCGCGCAACTATTTGCATAAGCCACATCACGGTGGAAGCGTGACATGCGACCTCTAATACAAACATCAGAATTTCATTTTCCACTCTATAAACAGTCTTTCTGAAAGACCCCGTTCGGCTGGTTCAATTTCAACTCTGACCTTCCGGCGAAATGAAATTTTACATTTCGTAATTATGCGCAAAGTACATATTTACATTGTCGCTTACATATTTTCGGTCAAAGCAACGCAACGAAGTACTCGATTCTGCGGTACTTTATACATACGCGTTTAACGACGATCAAACCCCCTTTTAACGATAATGTTACAACTGCACGGTCATTCGAAAGATACGTATCTACCAAAGTACACGTAGTCCTTGGTTATCTCGTTCTCGAACAAAGTTACCCCTACCACAAAAGTCGCTTACACCTTTGTGATAGTCCAGTTCTGGATCTGTCGTTGCTGAAGTTCCGCAGAAATGTCGATGTTTCCAATCCATTCTCGACCTTTAACTCCGTTCATCCTCGTTCTCTGCCACACCGCTTCCTCTATCATGGTACCTCAGAGCTACCTCGAACTACATCGTCAAGAAACTCCAGGAAGAGATCGTGGATTCATCGTCGAAGACGTGGCGGTTGATCAGCGTGAACGGGAAGAATTCTCAAAGTCGATCCCTTGTGTCAAGAGTTTCTTGACAAAGTACATAGAGAAACCAGCCTGGACTTCGTTCATGGTTCTGGACGGAGATAAGAACCCCCAGGAGTTTGCCCACTCGCTCGCGACGAGTTTGGATTCCAAGTTCGCGTTCTTCAAGTCCTCTGCTGATCTGGACTTTGACGTACTTCAACCAGCATTCGCTACGATCCTTCTGATGTTAAACGCCACCAGCCTCGACGATAGTTTCTACGTATTGGACCCCTGTGATCGGGGCTGTCCTTTCGTCTGCGTGCTGACGACCACCTTCCCGGACGAACAGAGTTTCCTGAATCAATCGGATATTCTGGTTCAGTCCATGTGGACGAGAAGAATTTCGAAGGTGATAGTTTTAGCAAAGGTTCGCGATACAATTCTCGCTGCCGGTAGCCGGACCTTTCAACCGAATCAGCTCTGCGTACCTTCGTCTACTGTTGTCTTGGACGAATGCAAAGAGAACTCGTGGAGCAAACTGAAAAAGATTCGCGCGCCAAGATGGAACGAGTGTATTCTGAAGGTGGCCTACTTTGACAAATCGCCTCAAGTGATCACGGTGAATGGTTCGGAACATCTGAAGGGGTTCGAGGGAAGCTTGATCGAGGAGGTGATGAGAGGGCAGTGGATTGATCGGGAGAAGGTAGAATGGAACGACAACACCAGTTTCGCGGAACAGGTACAAATGCTTCTCTACGATGACGTCATGGCTGACCTGGTGGTAGGTGGAATTCTGCAACAGTCTAACGATGAAATTGGTTACTCTTCCACCTACGACATGTTGAAGGTGGTCTGGCTAATCCCAAAGGTACCCAATGTATCCTTGAAAGGGTTGATTCAGCCATTCGATTCGTACGTTTGGGCGGCTGTAGGTGGATCCTTGTTGCTCGGCGGTGTTATCAAGACCTTCCTGAGTCGCGATTTGACGTGGTTGGACATATTTGCCTTGATAATCGGCGTGCCCACTGTTAAACAACCCAGTAAACTCTCCGGTAAGATTCAGTTCGTCTCGTGGAGCATATTTGGATTATTTCTAACACAACTGTACGTGGATTCGCTTGCTGATCAGCTGATTAACGTGTCAGACTTCAAACTCGAAACCATGAAGGAATTGGTGGATTCGTCGTTCGAAATTGGAGGTACAGCGGCGTTCACGAGTCTTTTCGACACATTCAAAGATGTCGACGAGAGTCTGTCACAGATACGCGAGAGATTCGTCACGTTCGATCAGATTACGTATCTGAAACAATACCAGGATCTGTTGGCGGGAAGAAACAATTCTTTCGCTTTGGTCGTCGTGTTGAATTCCTCGCGCAGCCATGCTATCGAAACGGTGCACTCGTACACCATAACCACCGAGCCGATATGCAATTTTCCGCTCGCACTGGCCACGTGGAAAGGATTTCCGTATCTTCAGCGTATCAACGAGAAAATCATGCGACTGATCGATTACGGCTTCCTGGATTTTATGATCAATATGGCGATATCGAAGGACGCGTTCGCCATGTTCGCGATCGCCGAAGACGAAGCGTACAAAATGGAGCTTCATTTGCAACAATTCGTTCCAGCTTTCCTTCTCGTGATCATGGGATTCTCCGTTGGATTTATTCTACTTATTATTGAAATCATTTTTCACCCGTCTAAGCTTCTCGAATAACATTCAATTGTTTTTGGTTAAATAATTAAATTTTGTCACGCGAAACAAATTGTTGCCGTTCTTGAGAGAAGGACGAACGGCTGGATATCGTTTAACCATAGATTATCGGCTCTCGCTTCTATGAATTATAGACGGATATTGGATTGCGGCTGAGCGGACGCTCGCGCGAGTTAGGCGTGCTGTAACCTTTCCGTCGAACCCGTCAAAGTAGCCGATCCGTGTCAAGGACATACACGATACTCGAGTAATTTGTGCGGTGACATCGTTCGTTACCTGTTCTACACCGTTCCCCGTTGATTCCGTGCATCCTGTGAAAATGGCGAACAATGAAAATCCAATAGACGTATTTAATCGGACGCAATGATATTCATGCCGTGCGTCGCCGACCTTTCGGACGAATTCTCAGGGAGCCGAGATGTCGAAGCCCAAAGAGAACGATAACCTGTGTTAACGCGAAAGAAAGGCGAGGATATCCATCTTTCTCGATACTTAATTTCGTCCCTTGGTTATATCCAACTCGAAAAATAATCCCCGTCCGGTCGTTCACTGGCTTATTCACGATCGAATCAGCTGCCATTCGAAGCCGTGGCTCGTGATCGAACCCAGGCAACGTTCTTGACCGAAGACGATCTATTACCTGTCGTAAAAAGGAACGTCATTTCGGTGAATCCGTACGGAAGAAGGGAAAACGAAGTCGTAAAGACGTTCCTGGCGAACGGGACGATATAATGAATTACGCTGGCTGCTATTCAACCTTACAGCCTACCAACGTATTACCCGCCAGCGTAATTATCTTTTTGTTTTCGATAATCGACCAGGGTATTAAGTTTCAATTTCGTCGTCACTCTAAATCCGTTCGTTTTCTCGAGAATGGCCTTCGTCTCGTCGTTGAAACCGACTTATGGCGACGGGCATTAAGTCGAGCATCCCCCATTAGCATAGCGTAAAGCGAAGGAAGCAACCGAGGAAAATTGCTGGAAACGATCGTCGCATTTACGTATCCATTTCTATGCTCGTTGGATCCTATCGTTTGCCCGTCACCGGACAAACGAAACTACATTATGTCGTTAATGTCGTCTCTGTATATCGCGGACAAAAATTACTCAAAACTTGGCGCAACGTGGTAGATAAATTTCCAAGCGCAACAAAGAACGGGAATTCTTATTTTCATTTTTATTCCTTTTAACCCTGGAGAAAAAGCCGGTGTCGTTAGCGAAACCCGCGACTGTTTTCTTCTAACTTTCTTAATTTTAGAAATATGTAAATGTATTTCCGTGAATTTTCCTAAGTTTTTTTCAACTATATACAGTGACGGGGGCGAAAGTAGGATGTAGGTGAATGGTTAAGCGGAAAAATCCTCGACTTTAAGGAATGAAAATGAAAAAGAATTTGTATAGAAATGATGTTGTAACGTTAAAGTTAATTTAGGTCGAAGCGATGGAAAGATATCTTGTCTGATTCTTAGTCTCTTGTTTGTATACCGGGTAATCGAGTCTCTTCTCTGGGTTTCAACTCCTCTCTCTTTGAAATTGAAAGAAGTTGTTGAACCTTTGAGCCGGAAAAGCGAGTGAATCGCGTGGAAAAGCAGGTCGAAAGGAAAGCCGCCTTTCTGGAGCAAGGGTTTTCGCTGACGAATATTAATATCGGTATGTTTCTCGCCTTGCACCGGTAATTGCTGACCCTTATTACCTGCTACCGCTTCGAATTACGAGCTTCTGAACTGGTGCACAGCTGAAGCAGGCCGTTTTCAGGCAGCCGCAATTTCGTTGAGCTTAACAAATCTAGTTAACTTGCTATAATATCATCGACGCCCCTCTGTTTTCCAACTCCGCCGTTATCGATACCCCTTTACACCACGAAATTCCTGTTAAATCCATCCACCTTTTTAACTCCTCCCTTACGATCGAATTTATCAAAAATCTGGCCATCGAATCAGGATCACTATAAATTTTCAACATTTTTCATGTTTTCCATAAAATTAAAAGATCTGTTCAAATTGTAATGATATAATAATTTATTAGCTACTAGCATAATACACTACTACTGTACATAACATTATTAACACATGTTAATATCTTGTATTTCCGGCATGCTTCACGTTGCTTTTTATATCTTCGTTGTTTTCCCAAATATCTGTAATTTTTATTTTCAACTCACGAAGATAATGTGGTGCTTGGACAGTTGTAAACTAGTCTTTTCAGTAGGCTTCAGACAAACACTCGCACGGCCCTAAATCACAATAGTAACAAATCTATTGCTAAGTATACCTGGTTATCAATGTATTTAGTAATAATTTGAATGACCTAAGACAATCTTCCATATATTCCATAAAAGTGAAATTTTCGTACGTGGTCCTAATTCGATGGCCAGGGACTGTACGTTGCTAAAACTTTTGACGCGCCTGAAAATCTCTAAGAATTTATAACTTATCTATGGGAGCTTACTTTCGAAGCTTAGAACTTGAAATTTTAAACTTTCGTTGTATATTATCTATTAAGGAGGCTGTGTATAATCAAGAAAGAATATAAGATTTTACGATCAGGATCCTGTTTTATCTCAATTTTCTAGTCGCAGCGGTTTTAGAGACGGATTATGTATTCGCACGATCCTATCGGCTCGGCCGGCCATAACGGAAAGGAAAACTGTTTCCGTGCTCGAAGGGAAATGCGACGGAACTTCGTTTTCGACGCTCGTTTATCGTGTTATCGTTGTTTGCTAAACTTGTAAAAAATGAGTGGGTCTACGTACTCGGTTGAAGCGAAAATCGATCACCCTTCTTAATTTTATTCCACCTTATACGTATCGTACAATTTTGAATCGTTTATTTTACAATATTTATATACATTCTCTAATGAATCACAATAAAGGAAAATATATGACTTTCTCTTTGTTTCGCTAATTATATAATGAACGCCTGGTGTACAGGATAATCCATTTAACTCGGCATAAGGAAGTATAATATTTTCCTGTTTAGCGGTCTGTTGTTACTGCCCGCAAGCAGCTAGTGACGATAAAACAATTTATCGTGGCGATCAGCATTACAGAATTTGTGGGTCGTCCGTGAAAATTCATCTCCAAGAACATTTGTCAAATCCGAAGGCGAATTTGGATCGCGCCAGTCGATAACTTTATATTCTACCGTAGCTGGCAACTTCCTCTCGGTATCCTTGCTTCATCCCTCAGTCACCGCCCCTTTTCGAACCTTCTTTTCCGCTGGCGTGCATTGAAATGCCAACGATGCTACGTATGTAGCGGGGACCGGAAATGCGTCGAATCACGATGGATCGTTCCTCGGAGGGACACTTTAAATCGTGTCTCGCATTGTTTCACCCGAAATCGTTTACACCAGGGGTGGGCAATTGTTTTGGCTCGGGAGCCACTCTGTGGAAGCGAAGGTAAGCGGAGGGCCGCACCTTTTAAAATGATTGCATTTCAGAAAGGTACAAATTGTACCATAAAAATCAGTAAATATAAATTCAATAAAATAGTGGCAGTTTTATTCAATTTATTTAAATACGAATCTTCGGTTGCGCACGGGAAGAAAATCTCGGTTCAAGGAGGATTTTTCTGACTGTCTTGGCGGGCCACTAAAAAATTCTTAGCGGATCGCTATTTGCCCACCCCTGGTTTACACGATGAAGGAAAGAAAGACGAGAGACAACGGTGGAAATAATCTGCGCTGTCGAAGCTGCTATTATACAAAAAGAAAAATAAGAAAATTGAAGGAAGAAATAATGGTGCGGAAACGTTCGGTACATTGAGTTTTACGAGTGTCGCTCTTCAGATTCTTTTTTCTACCGCGTTCGATCGGGGTTGGAATAGAATTCTTGTTTCGAAACCTTTATGACATGGCGGAGAAACGTTTCACGTAATCAGAAGGAGAAATCGTATCGATGATTAATTACCTCATTATGGTTGGAAATTTATTAAAAGACAGTGGAGGAATGGCATTATTCTTGAAGTTTATTTGATGGCGCCCATTTTACAATCGTCGGGAATTATTTTCTTAACACGTTGCCTCGGTAGAATACTTAATCCTAACATTTTCAGCCAATCTCATACAAATTCATAGCTTTTCACCGAACGTTTTACTTTCCCTTGATTCAAAATCCATGAAATAAACAGAGGAAACAAATTTTGAAGGAAGAAGCAAACAATTCAAGATATTCGCGCAGATTTATTCTTGTTTTTGGTCGTTCGCGAAGCGGCGACGTCGAGAGAGAAACAAAAAATATGGTTGAGGCAGATTGGCCTCGAGGGTGGAAAGGATGCTCGTGGAATTTCGTACGACGCCGTTCTGTCGCGACGATAGATCGTCAGTTCGAAGCACACGCTCCAACTTTCGCTTCTTTTTCCCATGGTTTCGTGTTTTCAATGTTATCGCGAATCGTCATCGATCGCCTAACCACCCTTTCACAGTCTACGAGCAAAGCTATCTCGAATCTCACATTTTCCTTTTCCTTATTCCCTTATCACTATTCTTGCTCGCTCTTCTACCAATGCAGTTCTGCATTAAATCTTCTGTTTTAAGTATTATGAAATAAATTGTTCGTAGACGTAAGAGAATGAGAAGTTCAAGTGCTTCGATGATATTCGCTGGGAAATTTCCTTAACAAAGAGCGTTGAGTGTTTTAAATCTTTTTTCAATTGTTATACTTTTTTAAATATCGAATCATTAACTATGAAACTCGACAAATTGTAAATAAATTGTTTTAGTCAGCAGAATTAATGTATTATCAATCGCCAATGGCTTTACTGGAGACACGATCCTAAATTAATAAATTGTGAAACAAACAACTACAACTAACAAATTTCAACGTTTAAATACAGTAATTTCTCAGTTTTGCAAGAAACGAAGTATATTTTGAATAGAAAAATAATAATCTATATTAACATCGGTACATCAAAAGATTTTTCCTTACTTAATTAACTCTTCAGATTTCTTTTCCCGATTGCACGATTCAAGAGATTACTTCGAATCCCAATAGTCCCATTACGAATGGTTAACAAGTCACGGTTTAAGCTATACCGTTGAGTTTCTTTCTTTCGGCATCGAATGAAAAATATTTATGAAACGATTCGATGCTTCGTATTATTCATTGCCGGTGGGGGTCTTGTTCGATCAATCGATAAACACTTTAGGGAGAACTGTATATCGGATAACTCTGGTGTAGATAGACCGCCATTAATTCAGGCAGCTTTTTAATCGTTTATTCTTGAATTTCAATGAAAACGGAAAAGAATTGTTTGAAATTCACGACAAACGAGCCCCTCTGAACTTTCCGCGCCGATTTAACTAGATCATCCATATAATAATCCCTTCCATTTCAGCGAGAAATATTGCAAAAAGCGTAGTGCTTTTTTTCTATTAGAAATCAGTATCATCAGGAACAATGTACCATTTCTTCGTTTCGTGCAAAAAGTATCTTGACCGAGCATGCGTACCATGAACGTGTTAATAACGCATACGGTGGTTGAACAATATACATTAGCTGAAAAAGCTTACGCTTTTTCGCGGTGAAAAGCTTGCGGTGATGAAAATGTTCCGCAAGAAAGTAGCTTTTTATTCGTCTGCCCAATCACTTACGTCGAGATAACGTT